AAGTAAGTTTGTGTTTGTGTGTGAGTATATATATATCTATTTATGATAAATTTGAACAAATTTCTTGTTACCTTTCTAAATAAACTCCAGCTCTTTAGCTGTCGCTAGAGTTTATTATTTATTATTCTCATGGATCTCAGTAAAAGGCTGGTGCCTTGGGTGAGCAACTCTGGGTTCATGTATGCACTCTCCGCATTTTCCAGATAGGTACCGGAGGTGCTCGAGGGACAAACTTTTTGAAAATCATTTCTTAACGGAACACCACACCCATAGTATGTAAACACCTAATAGCGGGGATCGCCGCTTCAAAATTTTACAATTTATTAGAGATTTCGAAACTTTATTAACCTGCTAAAGCACACCTAATCTAGTTCATGGCCAGACAAAAATCTTTTAAGTACCTAATTTAACCAATTTAAAACATAGTATTTGACATTTGCTAGGTTCTAATGCAGTTAAAGTGCCGTATAGGTGTTTGAATTGACAATTAGTTGTGAATTGAGGTTTCAATTGATAATTCGTTAATACGTAGTTGTTAAGTTCAGAGCAATCTCACAATACCTTTTGAAAGAGGAAAAGTAAACAGTGAGATACGCAGTATGCTAACGCTAAAGTGTTAAAAGCATAATTATAACCTACATTATATTATTGTCAAACAATAAATTATCATATTGTATACCTTCATATATATATTTATTTATGTTTAAACTATACTCGCCCTTTAAATATTATAGTACTGTATTGAATTATATTCCTAAATACTTCTACGAGAAAACAACCGATAAAAGTACAACAATAATTTATTACATTTCATTTCTGAGGATGCGTAATTGTTTCTCAGTTGTTATTATTATTAATTAATTTAGTTCAAGTTGTTGGCCTTCCGTTTAGATACATGAACAAATAAAAGCAATAATTTCATTATTATTGTTACTATATGATTCACTACATTAATGTTACTTCTTTAATGAGAAACTAATATGTTATAACCATCCGTGACTTCACATACGTACTACAATTCGTAATGAAAACAAAAATAAACTAATATGTTTCAACTTTAACGCAACGTGTTAAAGGCGTTACTTTGGAAAGCGGAAGTACGGTACTACGTGCAGATTCAAAACAATCTCATGGAAAATAAAACAGCAGCGCGGAGCACGCCGCGCCCGCGTGCTATCTGCCGAAGCATTGTACTCGTAACAATGATCGAAGTGAAGAACCATCGAACTCAAGTTTATCGACCTCATTCCAATCTCGCCTCATAATTTGTCATCTTCCAATCTTGGATAAAAATGAGGCTAAAGGTTCAAGTGAAAGCTGGCGTTAGAGAAAGCTTTTTTTGCCAAGTACATATCGATTGAAGAAAATATAATTTACACATCCATTTATGATCAGAATAAGTTATTGCACTAATTTACGTAGTTAACACATCTTCTTGTTAAAAATGACACTAGGACGTTGGTATTAGCACTACAGTGTTAAATTTTTGAAAGGATGAGGAACTTTTTACAATAACGAATAACTAACTTGTGGGCTAGCACGATAAGGCGCGACTTGAGCGAGAGCGACATAAAGCGCGACATACTGCTATTATCGCATAGAAATCACGCGCTCTATGTCGCTCTCGCGCAAGTCGCGCCCTATTGTGCTAGACCCAGTGTCCGTCAGGACGACCGGACCAAACGAGATATATAAATCAAACTGTGCTCATTTTTCTACTATTTCATGCCTTTATTGATGTATTTGTATCTACCTTTGCGCTAACGGAAATATTAAAGAAATAAAGTAGCCAGCCATTCTGACGTCAGGTTGGCCGGCCCCTTTACGTTTTTCATAGTTCTAACAGTATATAATTTACTTTTCTTCACTATTTTAGGAAGCTTCTATAAAAAGTTATTTAAAAAATAATAATAAAACGCCTGTGCAAAAGGTATCTTCTAAAAAGACAGTTTATCTTCTCCGTGTAATTTATATTTCTGCCGCCAAGCAGTGTTATTGTAATATTGGCATTATTGCGTCCAGGTTTTAAAGCGTAGGCGTGCTGGTGAAATGACACGCAAATGAGACTTGTCAACTTATGTCTCAGGGCGACAAGCGTAGTGGAAGTGTCCTTCAGATCCATTGACTTACAAATGTAAGTCAATGCTCAGATCTTTGCGATTTGGCACTGGCAGTTTGACAGTGGCACTGCAACTGTTATGGACTGCTTACCATCAGGCGCACGACTTGTTCGTCCGGTCCTTGATATTAAAACAAAACACCATTAAAAAAATCATTTACTGAGTAATAACATTTTTAGATGACATACTTACTTTAACTGCTCTATATTATCTATATATTTCTAAACAATTCTAATTTTGGTTTCGGAGGTACCAATATTTTGTTGCGACGAGAGTTAGGTGCGAAAATCGGCTAAATTGCGTCTCACAAACTTTACAACGTCGAATATATATATAATAGCAGGGAACGGTCAAGTGTTCGTTCTTTTTGAAAGAAGAAACTTTTGACCGTTTTCCTGTTTGATGGTTTGGTAGATTTTTAATACTTTTTAATTAAATTACTTAAAGTTTAAACATTCCCGAGACTGAAAACTTGATTATTCTTCCGAGCTTTTGGGCAGGATACGGTTCGTAGCTCGTGTGCGCCTTCCCATGCGGTCTTCTTGCAAAACGTCCTCTATTTGTTGCCCCACTACTTACTAAATTATATACACGCAATTCTTTCATTTACCGTTCCACCAAGAAGTACAATAAGAATGCTTCTAATATTGATCTTTTTGACACCACTCTTAGTAAATTAAAGAAAAAAAACTGGCACTGAAAATTGTAAATGGCATTTAATAAATATTTATTTTATTATTTGATAAACTTCGTCTTGTAAAATGAATAATCTCAGTACAGAGTACTAAAAAACCGACCTTAAAAGTACGTGAAATTTGCTAAGTTTTATTGAAATATCCCCTAGTTCGCCACTATACAGGACTTGACATTGGAGATAATAAGAATAGGTTCTCACTATGACACTACACAAAGTATATTGAGAGAAAAACGCCTTGAATTGGAGAAATAGCAAAATCAACCATTAAAATAATTGCTCCTAAATTAAAGTTAGGCGCTATTTATAAAAATGAATCTTCATGCGTGAATAGCCACCCTTCGTGGTGGATGATTTTCTTCAAAATGAAATGGAACCACTATGGAAGTACCCCCTTTCCAACAAAAAAAGAATCATGAAAATCGGTTCACAAATACCGGAGTTATCGCGTAACATACATAAAAAAAGTACAGTCGAATTGAGAACCTCCTCCTTTTTTGAATTCGGTTAAAAAAAAGAGACGTATGGTATCGCCGCACAAAGTAACAGCCCGGTTTGTATGTGTGCGCAACTGCCGCGCCTCGTGTACGGACACACACATTCGCCTAATAATGAAAGACGCGTTAGGATGACCAGTGCTGTGCAACGCGACTTCATCGCGAGATTATGCGAATTTGTGCGTCCGTACTGTGTTTTATGTGTATTTACCGTAATTTGTGCATCGGTACGCAGCCGGCGCGCACACATACAAGCCGCCTTGCTACGATTGTATGGAGTTACCATACTTGTTTTATTATGCTATGGTGATATTCTCAAACAAGATGCTCGACGATGTCGGAAACGAATTGGACAGAATGTCGATTGTACAATAAATAGTAGGTATAGGAGTTAACACAATGACATTGTATTGTATCCTCCACTAATAACTTCACCTAACATAACAGAGAATAACAGAGAATCACTAAATTATTTCCGAAAACATAACAACCACGCGTGTTTAATATTTTTATTGTTCGCCTGCCATTGTTATTTTCAACAAAAGCAATTAGGACAATACTACTAATTTTCGGATATCATTATTGTAATTTATACCAGTAGCGTAACTTCATACTAACGTAGCGGTGCGAGTTGAATGTGTGCACTCTCGTCGCGCGTCGTCTATAGACGCATATATGCGCATAATCTCGCGGTACACTCGAATCGTCACGCGCCATGAATTATAGAATTGAAATGGTCGCTCAATGGTTAAAAAATGACATCAAATAATACACGTTTGTGGTAGTCTGAACAAGAGTGCCTCAATATCAGATATGTTCATAATTTTATTTCTATTTCATAACCATACACTATACCTACTCAAGGTACCAATCCGCGATGCTGGCGTAAAGATATCAATACGTAAATACCAACTGCATTTAACAAAGGTTATATCAACGTAGCAAGAGAATATTGTGATGAATACCTTATTTTTAACCGACTTCAAAAAAGGAGGAGGTACTCAATTCGACTGTATGTTCGTTTTTTTTTGTATGTATGTTACGCGATAACTCCGGTATTTGTGAACCGATTTTCATGATTCTTTTTTTGTTGGAAAGGGGGTACTTTCATAGTGGTCCCATTTCATTTTGAAGGAAATCATCCACCTCTAAGGGTGGCTGTTCACGCATGAAGATTCATTTTTATAAATAGCGCCTAAACTTTAATTTAGGAGCAATTACTTTTAGCAATTATTTAGTTGGGTAAAAGTGGGATAGATGCCCCACTTTTTGTAAGCTGACTATAACTTTTTTTTTTAAAGCACTATTCGAGTGAGTTAACTATTTGTAACAACTATAGTCCTTATACTTACTATCTACTCATATCATTATTCAATGCATACCGTAGATTTGTAGATATTCGACTCTAAAAAAAACTTATTGTTTGAGGATAGACGCCTACTGTATGGGGTAGTTGCCCCTGGCAAAATTTCCACATGAGTGTAGATGCCCTACAATGGGATAGATGCCTCCGTAATAAAAAAAAAAAATTCGTAGAAAATTAAATAAAATGTTTATTTGCTTTCTTAGTTGCAATAATATATTATAAGATTTTCTTATCCAAATATACCGTAAAACTAAAGTAAATGGCACTTTTATAGGAACAAATGGCTCAGTCTTTCAATCATTATTTGGGTAAACTTAGCAACTTAACAACGTCTATTAAAAATTATTTAAAACTTTACAGAACTAAATTTAGGAATAATAAAACTTAAAACAAATCCGCCCCTTAAGACTTCTTTGGGAAAAATCAAAGCTTCCTTCTTAAAAAAAAATAACAGTAATCAAAATTTTCAAATAATCAACAAATATAGAGATACTGTTTACTTTGGCCAGGTTACTTATTCTTTGAATTCACTTTGGCCAGGTTAGCTTTTAGAGCTGCAAGCTTCTTCTTCTTGTGTCCACATCTATTACAGTAATCGCCATATAGAGTGCAATCTTCGTGTAACCAGAGTTTACACATCAGGCACTGAATCCAGTCCGCCGTAGACTTGGTACTTGCATAGTCATCGAAACATTCTCTGCATTGAGTATTTTCTTTATCAGATTCAGTCTGGTCAGAATCTGATTCATCGAACTCTTGTTCACTTTCAGAGCTAAACCTCGGTCTTTTCTTTTTAGGAACTGATTTTTGGTTGTTTTTTCTAGGTTTGTCTGGTGTTTGCTTCTTAGCTTTACCTTTCAACTTAGCTTTCTTAGAGTTAATATGTTCTTCTGAATTTAAAACGGCAGCACCTTGCTTGCCTCTTTTATATAATGGAACAGGAATTTTCGGGATAGGTGAACATTCGTTAAGATATTTACTTGGAGTTATGACTTCTACAGTTTCAGGCTCCCTATTAATAGTTGACGACGATGGACCAGGCTGGGGCTCAACATAATATGAATTCACATCAGCATTAGCGTCGAGTTCCTTTGCCACTGGTTGGTCTTGAGCAAGGTTGCCTTCATCTAGATTTTGAATTTTTGGGACCGGTGAACATTCTTTAAGATAATATTCACCTGGAGTTATGACTTCTACAGTTTCAACATTATGATTCGGAGAAAGGATGGACGGACTGGCATTTCCTTCCATGGGAATAATAATTGCGTCCGCTGCAAGATCTTCATATAGTAAGAACCCGAAATCAGGCTCCCGCTCACTATTGACAGTTGATGACGTTGGACCAGGCTGAGGCTCAACATAATATGAAGTCACATCAGCATTAGCGTCGAGTTCTCTTGCTACTGGTTGGTCTTGAGCAAGGTTTCCTTCATCTAGATTTTGAAAGCTGTTATCAGAGATAGCAAAGTAGCTGTCAGGAATAGCAGAAGGATTGTACGGGAAAATACCACATGCACGAAACCCATTCACAGCATTAGAAGAGGTAGCAGCGCGAGTCCATGCGTTACCTATTAATTTTCCAGCAATGTATCGATTTATTTTTCGTTCTTTGTGACTGAACATCCAGTTTTTAGTTTCTGAAGCAAAGTAAGTTTTGAAAGGTTTAAAAAAACTCCGGTCAAGCGGTTGTAAAGCCTGTGTAGTGTGGCTTGGCAAACAGAACAATATGATATCATTTTCTTGTGCTAATTCTAGTAAATCAATAGCAGTAGTGTGAGATGAATGCCCATCAAGTATAAGCAAAACCTTACCCTGTGGTTTTATTGGCACGAACTGTTCTTTCAGCCACTTTTGAAAGAGTTCTGAGTTGACGTAGGCAGATTTTTTGTTCATGTACACGTTGGCTCCGGGCGGAAGACCCTCTTGAAACTCTGGTCTTTTATTGACCCCCTTGATAATGACCACCGGAGGAACATAGTGGCCAACAGCGTTACAGCAAGCTATAATTGACATTGTCTCACCTTTTTCGCTAGAAGTGACGGAATTTACTACTTTGGCACCTTTAGTAGCAATAACTTTACCAGGATTATTGTTCATTTGAACTCCAGTTTCGTCAGTATTATAAATTCGATCAGGTTTATCGATCAAATCATTTTCAGTTAGTACTTTTAGCAACAATTCAAACATTTTGTTTACTTCATCTCGATTTAATCCTTGAGCCCTTGCAATAGACAAACCTTCTGCCTGGCGAACACTGAGTTCTGGGTGTCGTTCAAGAAATGATTTGAGCCAGTGCTGACCAGCCATACGTGTCTCTTTGTTAAAAGAATTTTCCAAACTCAGTTTCTCGGCAAATTCAAAAGCGAGTCTTCTTACATCCTGTCGTGTTGTGGGAAATCCTGCCTTTTCTAATTTTTGTATGTGGGCTACGAGACGTATCTCGTTGTCAAAGTCCAGTGTGGGATGTTTTCCTGAAAAAGAAGAAATTAATAGGTACAGAAAAAAACTGAGGATTCAAACAGGACAAGTATGAAAAAACAAACTAAGAAGACGGTGCCTAAATTGAATTTGATTAGGGCAATTAATTCCTCTATTACTTACCCAAAGTAAGTTTTTTACAGCTTTTTTTAGCATATCGCCTCCTCAAAGTTCGAGATGGAATACCATAACGACGAGATATTTCATTTACACCGACTTGGCCTTTATCCATTTCCTCAAAAGCTTTGCAAAGGGCTTCTTCAGACCAAGCAGCACGAACGGGTGCCCCTATTTTCCTTTTATATTTTCGCGGCATTTTGTCTAAAATAAAAAATGAAATTAGGTGATACGCTGCATTATTTTTACAAGTACAGTGAAGTACGACATGTAAAGGTATAAACAGCTCATAAATAAACTGGAAAGTCAATTTTCCTACTAAGTTGCATATTAACTAGATAGGTACGTTAGGTACCTATTTAAAAAAATCTTACCTACAGCCTAAGTACCTGTGAATAAGTCATAGAGGATATATGCCTCTAAGGGCATCTATACTCAGTCAATAGTGGGGCCTCTATCCTTTTTAGTAGGGATAGACGCCCCAGCAAATAAATAAAAATACTTAAATAATTTCGTAATTTTATAAACACACCATAAATATAAATGATGCATACTATTTAAATAACAATACACACTTAAAACTTACCTTCGAAAACGAAAGTTCTGAACACGTCAAAATGTTACTGTCACAAGAATCATGCAAGCGCGATAAAATTTTGAAACGTTTTTTTAACTCAAACGACGACACGTGCAGTCCTGTCGAAGCGCGTGCGCGGACTAAGCTGTGCGGGGCGAGATCAGTCCGAGGAATTTGGTACTAGAGCGTGAACTTTGTTTTAAATTCCTTTTTTTTAAGGTGCGGCGTCTATCCTCCAAGGGCGTCTATCCCACTTTTACCCTTGATGTTGCTATTTCTCCAATTCAAGGCGTTTTTCCCTCGATATACTTTGAGTAGTGTCGTAGTGAGAACCTACTTTTAACCTTTATGAACCTTTATGAACCTCCTCCTTTTTTGAAGTCGGCTAAAAAAGAATGTTATCATTACAAATAATTACACAAAATACCATGTCATAGCCGTCTCAGTTATTATAATTTTTATTAAACTGCTGGCACTGCAGGTCTATTTTTAAGATAAATATATGTAAACTGTTTGTTGCCACAAATAAATTTAAAAAGAAAATCTGTCCCTAGTCTCGAAAATGCTGACGCTCTAAATTTTCGAAACCGAGATTCCCGGAGTGAAAGCCCTAGATAGGGCTGTAGTTCCCATGCGGGTCTAATGCGATTAGGAATTTACACACATCATTAAATTACTTCGCAGATGTGTGTAGGTTTCCTTCGCCGAAAAGCTCATGGTTAATTTCAAATTAAATTCCAAAAAACTCACAAGTTCGGACTCGAGAACCCGACCTTCTGCTTGAAAGGCGGTAGGTCAAACCATTAGGCTGTTATGCTGCTATCCACTAACTAAAACGCAGCTAAGTGGTAAATGGTTAAATATCTGTTTTAAATGGCATAAGACAGAGCTCAAAATTATCTTTTAAAAACAGTTAAAATTAGTTAACGTGTCCGGCTTTTCGGAACTTACCCTAATGATCATTGAGTATATAACCAGAAATAGAGACAGCATAAGGGTCATCCATCCCTGACAACTCATCAGGCAAATGGGCCTTACATCACTTTTAAATATCAACTCTCGTTTGCGCTGAAATCACAAATTTGAAAACTGAAATAGAACAGCGCCTACAACAGACCTGTGTGTACGTCTCCGAAAATATTCTGTATTTATTGTAATAAAGATAATATCTATAACTATTGGGGGCTGTTCCATTCGGTGGTGTGGGAAAAACAGCAAAACATCTAATTACAAAACAAACGGAATAACATTTAATCGGTAATTAAATATGTAATTTTTAAATTTTCGTCCATTATAGCAACGCTCAAGTTAAACTGGTAGTTTTGAAGTGAAACAATTGACGACACCCGTCAATTGTTTCGAATTCGGGCTGGCCAATCGGAGCGCACTTGTCACAGTAGTGATGTTTTCAAAAAAATTTAAATGACATTTTGCATTGACTTACAAATAAATGGACGACGGGTCTAATACAAAAACCACGAAAAAAATGTCCCAAGTCAACCTATTCGAAATTTAAATTGTAATGTCATCGCAGTATCGCGCTGTCAGTAGAACAAATGAAGACTAAAGCGGAGTGTCGCGCTCTGTATACGATTTTAGCGCCTTACCTGTGCGGACACTTTTTAGCGCGGACCCGACGTCCATATAATTGTAAGTCAATGACATTTTGTCTCTATTTCTATATCTCAAAAAAATATTTTGCCACGTAGCCGGGTTTTAATTAGCAGTCAGCAGCACGGCTATGTATATATGTATATACCTACACTAAAAAACATTGACTTTGCTCAAGTTAGTCTATTAAGATACTAGATGAAACCAATCACAATATAATTAAATTCATTACTTTAAATGGTTCCTGCAATCATTGCTTGATAGGCCCCGATTTTATGTTACATGGAAACAAGTTACCTGATCACCTTAAACAACATCTTGTTTAATTCACTCATTATTTAATTCAAAGTGCTGACTGGGCAAGCCATATTTAATAATTATTCTAAATGTGATAAAACGACTGTTAAGGACCAATTACATTGCAGCGTAAGGCTCAACTCACACTGACGCAAAGTCGAAGTGTCGCGACGCGTCATGTTTTTCGCCTATAGCATATTCATCTCTATTTTCCCATTGAAGGTACAAATGTTGTGTTATGCAAATATGGAGACGCGCGACAACACGCGTCGACCCTTGGTTGCAGTCGAGCGGCTTCGAGGGGTTGTAGTTGAAAAACAGGACGCTTCGACTCTGCGCCAGTGTGAGTTCTATCACTTGTAATACAAGTGAGAATTGATAGTGCCTTAAATGCCGTTTCGCCCCTTTACACCCATATTAATAACACCATCTCAAATGCATATTAAACGATTTCAATATGGAATTTAAATCGACTATCTTTATTAATAAACACCATTTGCTTGCGCATCAATGATCATTCATTAATTACTCTTAATTTGAGAAAAAGAATCTGTTGACAAATAAACATTCAGAGCTTATGTTTCGATTCAATATGGCCTTATGAAATCTAGAACAGGGTCTTGGTCACTTGAAAGTGTATCTAAGATGCCAATGACAGTCTATCATTATAGGCGATATGTAACACGATAATTCAGGGACATCTCAGCCGATAGGTACTTTTATTAGATGTTTTTTATTAATAAGGGTTTCGATGTGGGCACACCTTGCAATTAGTAATTGTAGTAGTGGAGCTCCTTGTGAAAGATTTCGTCCAGTTTGAAAGGGTAAGGGTGCTGGTGAAATTACAGGCACATGGGACTTGTCAACTTTTATATCTTAGGGTGACGGGCACAGTGGCAGTGACCCTTAGATCTTTGTTATTTAAAGCTCTGAGTGGCACTGAAACTGAAACTGTTATGGATGGGCGTGTCGATTTCCACCAAGCGCACGACTTGTTAGTCCCGTCGTCACTTGGTATAATAAAAAAAATAGTCACCCAAGAAATGTAGTCATTCCTTTCCTTTGACGATTATTAATAGCTTCATTTATCGATTGAGGTACGTAGTTTTTTAAATAGCGATGTGATTGCGGCGTTACAATGACTAGCACCATTCAAATGAATAACATATTATTATAAAGAAAGACATAATAGTGAACCTTTTTGTCTAAAAAAATAAATTTTATTGCGGTTTAATAATGTTTATTGAGATTTTTTTGTGAAATAACTCCACTAGTTTTGTTATAATACCTGTAAAGGTATCGGCTGCGGTGAAAAGGTCATTAAAAAATCTCTCACTAGATGTCACTACTGGCGACGAATGCCGAAAAGGAAATACACAGGAGAATTTCGACGACTCGGTAACTGGACCCGTGGCTCAGAGGGTTAGAGCAGCATGGTCGCGGGTTCAAGTCCCACCGGGTCGAAGATATTTTTCTGTGCGTTCGATCTTTGTATTCATAATCATAACAAAACTAGTGGAGTTATTCCACAAAAAATCTCAATAAACACATTTGATCGAAAAGCGACATCTGCGTCGGTTGTCATTTCTGTAAAGGTATCGGCTACGGTGACAAGACTTAATTAATAGTGTTGTTTTATTTAATTAGTGTAGAGACTGTCAAAATATGCCAATTATAATATATCTGCAACAGTCTTGCGGAATGGTGACACTAAAGGTGTAATAGCAAACCGGGTATCTTGACGGAATTCTGAAGTTAAATTTAGCGCTGAGTTATGGACAGTCTATATGCGAACGCAAAATTTTATATAGAAATATTAAGTGCAATAATTTCCGTCTCTTTGCCAGCGATACTTCTTTCCCATTGTACTTGTAGCACACGACTTAGGAAGAATAAAAGCGAAACAGATAGTATAGACTTGTCGTCAAAAGAATACAAGTCGTTTCTCACTTTTCTTTTAGTGACATCACCTTTCAATAAGTGGGTTGATGGATTGCAATGATGATGGATTGCAATAGTAATACGAGAGTTGCAACATTAAATTATTATGTAAAACCAAAAGAAATAGAATTAATAATTGTATGTAGTATTCATTAGCACAGAGTTGCCAGACATGATAGAATTTTCGTATATTTAAGAAAGATGTTTAATTCCCGTACAGAATATGAGGCAATGTTTTTTCGGCCTTTTTTGTTATAATACCAAGTGATGGGACGAACAAGTTGTGCGCCTGGATAAGCGACACGTCTATCCATGACAGTTGCAGTGCCACTAAGAGTGGTTACACACGGCGACTATTAGCAGCGGTGCAAAGGCACGTTCGTGAAACGCGCGATTGCATTGCTACACTTGCGATTTATGGGCAATTGCATCGCTGCGCTACCTAAAATCGCGCGCGTGTGTAAAGGTAGACGATTAGCGACTGCATCGCTGCTAAGAGTCACCGTATGTAACCGCTCTCAGAGCTTCATCCTGGGGGTCACTGTCACTGCTCCCGTCACCCTTAAACATAAGTTGACGAGTCTCGTGTCTCATGAGATTCACTTTCAACACGTGGTCAGGGTACCATGAGTTATTATTGTTGATACAAAGATCGAACAATAGCAAAAGAAAAATTCCTTTGATCTGGTTGAACTCGAATCAACGTCTGTCGCCTCATGCGCAGACCACACCGCGAACGAAGCTAAGTTCACGTAGCACTGTGATTCCCCCATAGGCCATAAATCAAAAAAAATCATTGGCTTATCCCGG